CCTCCCGCCCCCGTACCACCCCTTTCGTGCGTCGTTGCTGCAAAACTCTACCGTACGTGGGTATAAAAGTCGGCGTAATAAGCGGCGAGCGTACGAAAGGGGTCGAAAGGGGTGGATTAACCGACGGCGGCCGTTGATGGAACAACGTAATGCATACGTGATGTTTAATTAATCAATTAATAACCGTATTATTGTTTTGTTTAATTAAAAATAATGAATCTCTCTCTGTCTGTAGCGTTGGTGGGCGGATTTACGAGCACGACCAGCGTCGGCATCATCCACCGTACGTATCAATCGCATTTGAAAGCTGACCCAGGACGAGTCTGCGTTATGCATCTATGCTTTTGTCGATATACGATAGATTTCTTGTTTGTCACTTTTATTTTCTTTTTCTCTCTCTCTCTCTCTCTGTCTCTCTCTATCTCTGTTTTTTATTCTTCGTTCTTATCTTTCGCTCCTATCATATATCGCTTTGCTCTTATCGTTTTGGCGTTCGATCATGAATTTCTTTTTTTTTTTTCTTTTTCTTCAATGCACGCATCAGTTAGCGAATTTTTAGTTGTACGAGAAACGTTGCGCAACGTCCTTCCTTTCGATCGTGAGTATGACGTGTAGAATGCATTGCTTTTTGAAATTAGAAATTGGCAACAATTATCGACGCTTTATTATTGATAGTGAGTAATTTTTTTTTTCAAATTGTTTGAATTACATGGTAAGATTTCAAGCAATTTTCCAGAGAAATGTTGAGAAATCAGAGGATAGATTAATGTTCGTCGGAGATCGGAGAAGGAGATCTGGAACGAGAGAGCGATCTAGCGGCCGTCATCCGAACAACAACCGATGCGTCCACGTTCCGGTTGACGGTTTATATTTCGCCTGGCAGTCGATTTTAATAAACCCGATGTAAACGGTTGGCCCCTACCCTTTGTGCGGAGAGAAAGTTTCCGGGAGAGCGCGCCGATTTTTAAATATAGTGTGCCCGGCAGGTTTGGGCAGGAACGGGTCGGGTGGGAACCGTGACACCGTCAAAGCTTTTCGCCAAGCGAGTTCTCCGCTTGCCTCGTTGATCCACGAAAAAGGCTCGCCATCCGTGGAATCTTTTGTTTATAATTTTTTTGATCATTACCCAACAGGCTACTAATTCCGCCGGCGGGTGCATTCAAAATTTATCGGCGGCGCGACAAAACGCACCCTTCAATCTTTTTTATCTCCCTCTCCTCTCCCTCCCATCTCCGTCCGCCAACCGGCCATCCGCGATCGCTTCTTCCCTTTTTCCTTCTCTTTCTCCCCTCCCCTTCTCTCTTTCTATCTCTCTCTCTCTTTCCTTCGAACCACGACTCTCCACTATCGCTCCTGTCTCTCTGTCCGTCGCGGTCCCTCTAGCTGTCCGCTCGCTTTCAAGCGTCCCACTCCCTATTGGACAACGTTCAAAGGGTATTCAGAGTCGAAGGTCCGGAAATGGTTGGGTGAAAAAAAAAAAAAAAGCAGGTAGACAGAGTTAGGCACTTGTTTGTCCAATGGATCTATCCGGGCGTCGTGATTCCCTCAAAAATTCAAATCCTGTACATCTGTTCTCATTCCTTCCTTTATCAACCGATTACTTGTGTATCGTTCTGTGAATTCTGTAGAAATTTGTATTAATTAGTAATCCTTGTCGTGTCCTTGTCGTGTCCAGAGTTTAGTTCGTGATTCCTTTTCTTTCTATATATATATATATTTTGAAATATTCTGGAAATATTTCAAAGAAATTTAGAGTTACTTGTGGAATAGATTCTTTCGTTAATTATTAGATGGTTTTTTTAATCAATGATCAAAGATAAGAATCAAGATAGTGAGAATTTTGAATAGAAAGATTGTTAAATTAGATCCCATAAAAATCCCCCGTAAAATCATCTTTCGCACTTTCCATAAACGTCACCATTCCTATATCTCAGCTCCTTTAACTCTTTAACACTCCCCGGTATTCACCTCATCCGGAATATATTCGAGTTTTAATTTCCAAACCGATAGAGCACGCGCATAAATCAAGCGCGCGGAACAGAAACATTTGAGAAGTGTCGAGCGTGTATCGGGTGTACAGTGCAGCGAATAAAAGTGCCTTCCTCGTATATATATATATATATATCTGTATTTATATTTTTTTTATCCTCCATTTTTTTCTCCTTTTTTTTTATTTTTATTTTTATTTTCACCGAGTTAATTGAGATTGCTCGAAACGCGAAAAACGCATCCGATCGCGAGGCGC